GACTCTAGGATTAGGGATGGCCTGCGGCTGCATCTGACTTCCTGGAGCTACTTACGTCTGAACTCTGGTCTCATGAAAAATTCAAGGTTGATACATTTATAAAATTCTTTTTATTCTTGCAGTTTTTTCAAAGGGGGACATGGCAAAGATGTTCAGTTTCATCCTTGTTGTCACCGCTCTGATAATGGGCAGGGAAAGTTCGGTAAGCTTATTGTGAAAACTATTGTTATATTTATAATGCCTGCTTTTATCTGAATTTTCTTTCATTTTGCATTAAACCTATAGTGACTTGTCATTGAAAAAACTAAGGCGGAAAAGCAGAGAGGCTGGTGGAAACACTGGACCCGTAGTAAAGCAGCACTTCAAAGAGCTTTACATTTTTTTTTTTTTGGGAGTCTGAGGCGGGTGGATCACAAGGTCAGGAGTTGGAGACCAGCCTGGCCAATATGGTGAAACCCCGTCTCCACTAAAAAAAAAAAAAAAAAAAAATTAGCCGGGCATGATGGCACGCACCCGTAGTCCTAGCTACTCAGGAGGCTGAGGCAGGAGAATCTCTTGAACCCAGGAGACTGAGATTGCAGTGAGCTGAGATCATGCCACTTCACTGTAGCCTGGGTGACAGAGTGAGACTCCATCTCCAAAAACAAAAAAAAGTGATTTACATTTTTTTAAATAAAAAGTATTTACAATAAATAAGTAACTTTTAAAAATTCACTGGAGTTATTTGGTTGGAATATTAGAAATTTGAAACTGTCAATAGTAATTAAAATTAACCTTGGGCTTTTCAATATTGAAAAGTATAAAACTAACCAGATTATTCGAAAGTAATTACATCGAACTTGTGTTGTCCTTCATTTGTAAATAAAAAAGACAAAGCATTCATTCAAAGGTCTTAGAGAGAGAAAACTCCTAAGTTTTAAATAAGCTTACTAAGTATATATATGCAGTCTTATAAAAATTGGAGATACTTGAGCTGTGATCTGTTCAGTTATTTTAAAATTGCATAGTGCACTATGTTTAACAATATCACAACTGATCCCCCACTATTGTGAAACAACACAGGACCCAGACACCATAAAATGTTCTTGCTGTTCAATTTTTAGCCTATGTGACTCAAGGTGCTAAGCAAATAACTCTCTCAGAGTGAATAAATCTGAGTGATAGGGAGAGAATAACAAGAGCAAATAAGAAAGAATCCTAGAGAGGCCGGGCGGCGCCGTGGCTCACGCCTGTAATCCCAGCACTTTGAGAGGCCAAGGTGGGTGGATCTCTTGAGACCAGGAGTTGGAGACCAGCCTGGGCAACAAAACGAAACCCCGTCTCTACTAAAAATACAAAAATTAGTCGGGTGTCATGGCACACAACCTGTATAATCCCAGCTACTTACGAGGCTGAAGCACAAGAATCACTTGAACCAGAGTGGCAGAGGTTGCAGTGAGCTGAGATTGCACCACTGCACTCCAGCCAGGGCAACAGAGCGAGACTCTATCCACAGAAAGAGAGAAAGAGAGAGAAGGAATCATCCTAGAAAAATGGCTGGGAGAGGTTCCGTATCTTGGACCTAGGGATGAGAAGAAGGGAAAGAAAGAAAAGAAGAAAGAAAAGTAAAGAGAAAGAAAGAAGGAAAGAAAGAAAGAAGAAAAGGAATGAAGGAAGGAAGGAAGGAAAGAAGAAAGGAAGGAAGGAATGAAGGAAGGAAGGAAGGGGCAGCAAGGAAAGGAAGGGAGGGAGGAAGGAAAGAAGGAAAGAAAGAAGGAAGGAAGGGAGGGAGGGAGAGAGGGAAGGGAAAATAAAGGAAAAGAACAAAAGGAAAGAAAGAAAAGAAGATAAATCGTCCTAGAAAAAATGTCTGGGAGAGCATCTGAGAAAGGAAAGGAAAGG